AGAGAGAGAGAGAGAGAGAGAGAGAGAGAGAGAGAGAGAGAGAGAGAGAGAGAGACAGACAGAGAGAGATAGTGTGAGTGGGTGTTATCGGCAAGAGAGGTCGGCGAACTATGTGCCGAACCGCTCCGCCGCTGCCACTTTTGATTTGTAGAGCCCTTTGCTGGAGTTCGCGCCGAATTTGTTATTATTGTTGTCTTGATTTACGCACGCATGTGCGTGCGTGGATACCTCTGAGAGAGAAGGCTGGCTCTGGAAAGGTCAGGTCAGGTGAAGTGTTCTTATATTTTATTTTTTGCAAAGGATTTAGCCCTACCTTTGTCGATGCAGTACACCCTCCTGCGTCCTATCAGACACCCCCAAAATAAGAAAATAAAAATTGCAGTGTTAAAGATACTATCCCCAGCACGAACTTTGTTTAGTTTAGTTCATGAGGAACATAATAAATCGAAATTCGCGATTCGAATGAAAAGTTCTGTCAGAATAACGAAAGCTTTGTATTTCCAGCCTGAGTTTGGGGTCCCCGGCCCCGGCGTGCGCTCTTGGCAGCATGGCGTCGCTCCACGCGGAGCGCCCACCATCTGGCGGCATACTGCCGGCTCCGCGCGGCAGCCAGATGGGCTGCCTACCCTCCGGGCGGCCGCGTGTGCACTGGGGGGTGGGCCGGGAAGAGGGAAGAGCTATCCTGGAGACTCGACACCTGCCTGACGAGCCCGACTGTCTGCGTTCGTTTCTGTTGATGGTGCCTCACAAAATACGAGTGTTGGTGTATTTTGTAAAATGAACCTACAGGAAGTATTGTATTTTTCGTCAAGTGATAACGTCGTATGAAAATTTCCGAGGAAGGGAAATCTCGTCAACCTGTGGTATTCTGTCCGTTTGCAGGTTTGTCTCCTGCGGTTCGTTTCGCGACGGCGGCGCGGCAGGTGGCGCCCCCCGTGGTGGACGCCGCAGTCACCGAGGCAGCTTGGCGGCGCCGTCACCAGAGCGCGCCCGGGCGTCGCGGCGCTATTAAGGGGGAGTGGTCCGGCCCCCCACCCCGCGCCGCGCCCGCCGCGCCTCAAGCCGAGCGGGGCGCAGAGCTACACATACGCGCGACGGAGCGGAGGGCTAATGAGGGGAAGAGGAAGAGGAGGAAGAAGAGGAAGAGCGACGAAAGGGTGGTGGAGGGATAGGAGAAGGGACTGAGAACGCCGGGAGGAATGTCGGAATTGTAGGGAGGAATAGGCGAAACAAAAACAAAAATGAGCTCACACCCGTGCATGTAACGTGTATATAGATATAAAAGTGGGGATAATAGGGTATTCCGCTACAACACAATCGGAACCTAAAGAAGAAAAGCATGACTACCCGATCTGTTTCCTCCTGAACGCTGATTGGCGTGGCTGTGGCGGTCAGCCAATGAGCGCGCAGAGGGAAACAGATCGAGCAGTCATGCTTTTCTTCTTTAGGTTCCGGTTGGCTTGCAGCAGAATACCCTATTGAGGTACGTACGGCCCGGCGCGCGGGGGAAGGGAGGGAGCCGGTGGCGGCGCGGCGGCCCGGCGGCGGCGGGAGAGGCGGCAGCGAGACAGCAAGAGGGGGGAGGGAGGGAGGGGGGCACTTGGAAAGGTGGACCCCTCGATACCCCCATCACTCCAGTTGCTATCACGTCATTGCATTGAACGCGCACAAAACCCGCCGCGCCCGCCCGCAGAGCGAGTGCAAGTCGTGAGCGTCAGCGGCGCCTACCGCGCGCTCGTCTGCCAATCCGGTGGTGGGCGGGAGTGTCCTGTCCGCCTCGGCGCGCCGCGCGCAGCAGCGAAACGGGAGGAGAAGGAGAAGCCAAGGGCCCCCAGCCGGAGCGTAGCGCGGCGCGTTGTGGTCAGAGCGCGGGCCTCGCTTCGCCCCGTCCGCCGTCTCGCCGCGCCTCGTGCCCCGTGCCAGAGCCCGTGCCCACCGCGGCCCCGCCGCCCGCCGCGTTGTGTTGTGGTCGCAGCCCGGCCAGCGCAGCGCAGCGCCAGTGCCGCTCGGATACAAGCAACAACAACAGCAGCGGCGTGTCGCCGGCTCCGCTCGCATACTATGAGCGGCCACCCACAGCGGCTGCCGCCCTCCCGGCTCCTCCGGCCCGCAGGGTCCCTGCGGTCGTCGTGATCAGTGTTGCCTGTGGTGTTTGCGTCTTTGTGTGTGTGCGCGCGTTTGTGTTGTGACAGTGTGATTGTGTGTTTCTGTGCTGCCGGCCCGGTGCCATGTCGCGGTGCCCGGGATAGCCCTTTTGTTTGTGTGTGTGTGCGCGAGCGCGTTTCTGTGTACCGCGGAGACTCGAGATCCGTCGTGTCATCCCAAATTTCCCAAGCTGGAGGAAAGTCGAGACCGCGGACCCGGCGCGGAGCAGGAGGCTTCAGCAGGACAGCAGCAGCAGCAGACGAACCACCGGCAGTCCCAGGACCAGCAGCAGCAACAGCAGCAGCAGCAGCAACAGCAGCAGCCACCCCCCGGGCCGAGGGGGTCTCCGACGGACACGATGAATGTGAGTACTCGCACCGTGCGGGGCACGAGTTAAAACTGAAAGGGAACACAGACGCTGAACCAATCACCGCCCTGGGCTAGCGGCTTGCGCGCGCGTGCGCGGCACAAGCGAAATCATGATGAGAAATCCTTGCTGGCCATCAAGAGGATGAAAAATCGTTGTTTTTCGACGGCGACGACGCCCGGGCGGGTGTCTCCCTTTCGGCCGCACTCCGGCAGACGACTTCCTCCTTCCGAGGGCCCGACCTGACCCTCCGCCCGTAATGACCCTGGGGGCCTCGGCTGCCCTCCGGCCGCCCCTCGGGCCGCCCCGCCCCCGCCAGGTAGGCAGCAGCAGTAGGGGCGGCCGGGGCCGGGCGGGCGTCGCCATCACCTGTTCGCGCCGCCCGAGGTGAAGATTTGGCGCCGGCCCGGGGCAAATGCCAACAACCTCTGCTTCCGGCTAGGAGGCGGTGCCGGCCGGGTCGGCAGTTGAGTCCGCTGGGAGTCCGCGTGTTGTGTTGTCCGGGATGGCCATGACGTCGCCGTCGGCTCCGCCTCCCTCGCAGCACTTTGCCAAACGAGATAAAGGGGTGAAGGTGCCAAGTCTCGTTCAGCGAGGACGTAAGAGGGAAGGAAGGCGGCTGCGCTGCGAGGCGCTGATCTCGACTGGTGCGCGTTGCCGACTGGCCGACGACCCCAAGGAGGGCGCGGCGGCTTTGCAGGTGGGGGTGGTAGTGGAGAGGGGG